AAAAAAGATTGGTATAAGACCGGTCCTATGACCGGACCAATGGTCTTTCGGTCTGGATCGGATCGTTCCCATCCCTACGTGGAATCGTTATTTTGATGATACCCCTGTCAAGAATTGGTCTACTCTCCAGTTCCATAAAAACTGGCTTGATGTTCACAAAGATGAGCCTGAGCAACTAATTTATAGCAAGACCACGGATGCGTTTCTTAAAAGTCTCCGTGAGATTATTAACCGAAGCTCGGATCTCCAAAAAATCTGGAAAGCTAATGAACTTTTAGCCAACTGTCAGGCAAGTACCATCTCAATACTATCTCTGTATAGGGAATGTCCTCCGCAGTAAACTTTTAGTTGACTGCGGTTGTCCACAACAAGGAAGACACAACTTTTAGTTGTTCTTCTGATGATCTTTTAGATCGTTGTGGTTGCGACACATAACAAGGAAGACACAACTTTTAGTTGTCCTTCTGATGATCTTTTAGATCGTTATGATTGATATATTAATAGCATTTTTTTTCTTTAGTAGTGCACTAAAAGCTAGATATATTAATAGCATTTTTTTCTTTTTTTGTATCAAGGACCGGAATCAGCGTAAAGCAGGAAGCAACGTGGATAATTTGTGGCTCGGTGTTGAAAGAACTCTAAAAGAAAAGAATATTAATGCGGGTACGAACTGCATACAGCTTGTTGCTTGCGAAGGTGTCAAAATTAGCAATGTTGGAGATAAACGATCATTAGCGACACCGATAAAAAAAGGATCTAACGAGTTTAAGCAACAATTAGGTATCTATATTATTTATTATTTGTGTTTATTGAATGTTACATTAATAGATTTTAAAACTGAAGATAAGGGGAACACAGTCGACGGTTCATATAAACGCAGACGTACAGAAGATGAAGATCATGAAGATCTGGAACATCCAAATAGCGAAAACTTTCTTAATAATGAAAAAAGTACTGATAACGATGATGAATTGGAAAGACATGCTGAGGAGACCATCCAGTATGATGGAAAGATATGGATTGTGGGTAACACGAAAATCAATGTACGTGATGCGCTAACGAAATGGCAGAAACGAAAAGACAAACCGCGTACCGAGTAATTATTTTTTATAATTTGTTTAAAATGTAATATGTTGAAAATATTTGATATACTAATATTGGAAAATTTTAGTCTAGCATTCTACGATATTATAGATATTACTCCAGGTTCAAATAGTGACTTTATACGATCTCTACCTAATGACGCAATACATGAGATGAAGCAGTTTGGATCGTCAGAACAACTTGTTGTCGCGGATAATGTGAGAGAACTAATTGTTAAACTTATTAAGGTATATATGGTCTATTCTTTATCTCACTGCATATATGATCAAATCATCGGTTATTTAAAATTATAGCATGATTATATGGATGCTTTTTTTTTATTAATTTGATAATATAGGCGGATGACTTTCGCAAGGTTGTTGATGAGAACTATATTGAAACACGAAAAAATGATACTTTGAGATTCGTATGGGACTTTGCGAATCATCTGTAAGAATAATAGGATAATTTAGTCTTTGTTATTTCCTAAGTCTCACACCCAAGTTCTTCTTTTTAGTGCGGAATCATTTGAAAGAGACGATGACCTTACAGACTTTGATTTGTCTGAACTAGCATACCGAGAAATTTTTCTGGCGCCTGTCATTCGTAGCTTGTTCCGCGGAATGCATCGGGAGATGCGCATTTTTTTGTAGGTATACTTTTAAAAGTTTGCTTAATCTTGATCTATTTTTAAGAGTACAGTGTTTATCCATGCAGTGGCGAGGAGCATTTATTCGCATCATCTGAAGAACTTAATCTGAAAAAAACTGATAAAGAATCTCGTGTCGTTGGAAACAAGGTTGATATTATTTGGTCTCTAAAGTCAACAGACCTTGAAATTACTGTCGGTGAAGTCAGTGGGCCGCCAAACCAGCGTGATCATCCGCACTTTTTCGGTGACAAATTAAAGATCGCCAAGATGTTGAAGGTCATAATTAATAGGATTGTCAGAAAGCATGACGGTACAGGTGTAAAATTATGCTCGTTGAAATTATATGGATTACAAATATATAGTAAGTATTAACGAATTTGAAAATGATCCGTATTGTATAAGAATTTCTCTAACCTATATCAGACAATGAAGCAATTGTCTACGAATTGTCAGTAGCTTTTCAAGGGTTGTACATTTTTCGTGAACTTCTGCGGTCAAAACTTCCAACTAATAAGATTGAAGTGGCGTTAATGTCACGATCCATACCAGCGTTGCTCAAGTTCAGGGTTTGTTCTTTTCCTTTATCCCACACCATTCCATCTTTTTTATACCTAACAAATTTTATTATATAACAATACCAGGAGTTGCTTGAACAGAGTCTAAAAGGTTTGAAAGATTATATTATGGATGCGTACATTATGTCAATAGATTCAGGTGAAAGTGCAAACCAGTTTATCACATTTACGAAGCCGGACAAAGAAACAACTAACCTCATCGTATAGGAATTTCTTTAACAAAACCTGTAATAAGAATGAGATTTTTTATGGAAGAAGTTATTCTTTTTATATTGCGTGATTAAAGAGCTTTATTATTTTATTTATGCAAATAGCAACAAGATAATAATGTAACATGACTGAAGTTTTTTATAGGCAAAAATAATAAAGCTTGTTTGACACATCGTGCTTGTGATTATTGGAAAGAATTTTGTTTTGTATTGTATATTATTAGCAAAGATCTTCATGATTAATCGATAAGCCCAAGTTGTAAAGTTCTTTTTGGATAGTCTCTTGAGGACCTTCATCATTATACCAAATATAAAATAGATAAATATCATTTTCTTCGGATAATTCTTTTTTTTGATCCTGTGCTTGCTGTTTATCGGGATCGCTATATGAAAGAATTCTATGTATTTTTTGATTGCAAATCCATATCCATAATTGGGAATATCGAGTTCTAAACCTGTTGGATATTCAGGCTTACGATTCTTAGAAGGTATTTTGTTACAATTTTTCGACATAAATTTTCACATTGGTAACGTCTCCATTGCCACAAAAGCCAGTTCATTAATGCGACGTAGTGCAAGTGCGCCTAGCTTCATTGATGTTATGAATACTGGGCTTCTGTGCGAAAAAATGCAAAGAAATAGACTTAATATCTTTTGATTGAATATTAATATTATTTATCTCAACTATATTTAGCCAAAGACACTTATTCATGATATAATTTATTTTTTTTGC